AATAGGATAGAGGGAAACTAAAAGGTGGATCAGAAGGGAACAGGACAGGTGGGTACAAATAATGCTGGGAAGTTGTGGGGAACTGATTTTTTTTTTTGGCTAATCTTTCATACCAGCCAGCCAAGCACCTCTGTGGAGCCATTGAGGACCCTCTCCCAATTAAATTCCTAAACATCATATGAGCTCTGGCTTCTCTGAAGGACACAGAGTCTGCACCGTGTAGGTACGGTGTGTCAGATGATGAACACTTATAGAAGGTGTTAGTCCAAGCAAATCCATTCCCACACCTGACAGTAAGAGGCAAAATACAGAAAGCTGGGAAAGCAGCCGCCTCCCAAACATGTAGGGCTTCAGCTGCTGGTGCTTCAAGAGAAAACCTGCCAAGACAGTTTGAATATTTATGTGACTAGATAATATCTACACAGAATGTTCCATCTGCAGGGCCGTTTCCTTTCCTTTAGAAGAGGGTTTAGCTATGGCTGTGAAACAGTCACTGCTGAACAGAGGAATATGGTACAAACCATGCAACACTTTTGCACCCAATATTTGCACAAGAAGCAGTGGAAATGGTTAACTCCCTGTTTCTTCTGGTTGCTGCTTGGTCAAGCTCTGAGAGACCCCGGTGAGGGTTTGGGCTTTGCAGCTTGCTGGGGGTGAGGTCCTTAGTACCTCAAAAAAAAGTAAGTAATATAAAATAATAACTGCAACTTTCTCTTAGGAAGGTTTGCAGTGTGTGCATCAGTTTCTGTAAGGTAACATCTGGGTGGATAATGCAAAATTTATATTTAGCTCAGCTGCACTTAGGAGCAAGTTTAGGACAGAGAAAAGAGAGCACTGGATTGGGTTTGTAGAGGGAATGGAAAGCATAGAAGAGCCTTTTCCTTGCTCCTTGTAAAGCCTTCGCTCCAGAGAATTTCTGCTTTCCTGGACAAATCGTTCCTTTGAATGATTTTAGCTTCTGCATCAGAGAAACTAAAAAAACCCACCAAAAACCTTAGTTTTCTTCCTTTCTCCCATCCTCTCAGCTCAAAACAGAGTACTGTGCTGGCTGGTTGGGCATGGTACTCTGTTCTGCATTTTGGAAGATTGGGAGATATTTCCTACCCTGTTTCCATCTAATGAGGGTGCTCTGGGAACTAAGCAGCCCAAGCACATACCTGCAGGCTTGCTGGAGCACTTAGCACCAGCTCCTTTAACATCCTGCCTCCCTGAGAGAGCAGTGCCAGAAAGCCAGGCTGCCCCACAACTCATGAGCTGCCGGACTGTTTTCGGCTGCCGTTGAGTCATTTGCTGTCTTCTGTGAAAACAGAGAACCACAGTAGAAAAGTCAATGGCTCTAAAATGGGCAGGCTGATAAAAGACTTGAGAGTCCAGAGGAAACATCATCCTGCGCGACAAGGCATCTCTGAAGTGTCCATCCTGCTTAAAGATGGTTGTTTTCATCATCAGGAAGTACAACATGAGTATTTCCTATCCTGTAAAAAACTCCTTAAACATAAAATTGCTAGATCCACCATTTGCAGTGCAAGCTTTCATCTTAACTCTTGCTTGTATGCTGGAGTCAAAAATTAGTCCCTGAGCTTTCAGTTCCTTGCACAATAGCAGCACATTTCTCCTGCTGAACACAGACAAGAGGGGCTTTAAAGCATTTTCATGGTTTGTTTGCCATTTCTGCTTTGGGTGTATTTTGTTTTTCTTTATGCCAAAAAGAGTTTCCACAAAATTGTAGTTTATTATTTGAAAGGTGATATTTTTCAGTGAAGCAACGCAACACAAAATCACGACTTTATAATCAGCAGTGCTAGTGTATTTTCTTCCCTTTAAGAATTAGTTCTGCAAAAAACTAACCCCAGTAACCACCTTAGGAGAAAGAGTAAGCCAGTTCTAATGATCTCCCAGGGAAACCAAAAATGAAGTGCATAGCATCATTTGCTTGATCTTCAATTATTATTTAATTATCCTACTGATAGGTTCTTAAAATTGTCTCTATTGGACAATTTCAGATGACTGCTTTCATTAGTGTTCACTTTTTCTCAAATGCTTCAATTATGGACTCACAGGAAAAAAAAAAAGAACACAAACCACCTTTCAAAAAGAGCTGCAGGCCTGTTAAAACATCATCATCCTAGGCTGCTTGGTTGTGTTCTTCAGTAGAGATGCAGCTTTAGGGCTTCCTAAAAGTTAATTTGGGGGGAAAAGTACATTGGTGTGAGTGCACCTTCCCTTCAAAGCCCAGTCAGTTTCCCTTACACACCAGGAATGGCTCACTAAGTCGAGGCAATAATGAAGTATTGAGCTATGCTCAGCACAGTCTGCAATGTCAGAAGCTGCTGTTTGCAAATTAGAATTGCTAAATACTAAAGGAAGCAAGAACAGCAGTAATAAGAGCAGAGTGACACAACTAAGCTGTTTATTAAAAAGAAAATAAAAAATTCATCAGCTTTGGGATTCATGGAAATGTCGTGTGTCTTGTACTAATGTGCTTCAACAACAACAGTCTGTCTCATTTTTTAGTGCTCTAGCGAAATTTTTTTATCAAATTGCCTTCAATGGTCCATCATTACCTCATAATGTGGTAATGGTGAGAGACCAAGGCAGGCTAATGAAATAATCCAAGCTGCTGAGGTGGGAAAGCCTCTCAAAGCTACAACTGAGAGCAGAATTTTCAAGGCTGATACACCACGGACAAACACAGAGGCAAGGCAGGAACAAGAGAGTGAAAAGCTACACTCTGGAACCTAGGGCTAGGAAGGAATGAGTAGGTTGCAGGATGAATTGACTAGTTGCTTTTGAATAAAACTTACTAAGAAGTACATCCACCTTCAGAATTACCAGTGGTGGCAGGGAAGTGGTGGTTCCCTGCTTCACTGAGTGGGTAACAAGCTCATACTCTGGGCTTTTTACAGCTCCAGGACTTCTTATCCCTCTGCCTCTTTAGCCAGGAATAAACTTTATGTTTTCATTTGGTATTGAAATTTTCTCAAGACAAAAAGCCTGGATATAATTAACTTATCATTCTTTTGTCTCTTCTCCAAAACCAGCAGTGTTTTTTTGATTTTTGTGTTCATTTAGAGGGTTTTTTTTTTTTGCCTAATACATTCCTATGTTGAGATCAAACTGACGACTGAGTATGGTCAGGAGAAAAGTGGCATTGCAGGAAGGAGCATTAAATCAAGCAATAAAGTGTGCTTTAGTGATACTAATGCTAGACAAACTCTCGCTTAAAGCAGACTACTAGAGTACATGTGGTGTGCTGGAAGGCTCCTATTAGCAAACCTGACAGGCTTCTGAACTGGGTTTTGGAGACCAAAGATGACACACATTGGAAAAAAAAAATCCCACAAGACTAAAGACCTTTTATCAGTGGTGCATGTGCTTTTTTATTAATAACACAATAACAAGGCATTAGTTACAAATGTTTAGTATCAAGGTGACCTGTATCCTGACAGACATGAGGGTTTAAAGACAGTAACACCCCTACAACCACAGTGACAAGGTTATGTCAGCTCACCTGCCGGCTCTGTCGCCCTAAGAGGACTAGCAAAGCCAAATACACATTTCTAAGATCTTCATGCAAACATACTGGAGGGAACTTGAGTTGAGAAGAGGTGATTTTCTTTCGAACTTCTCCTTTGGTTTCATTTAACAGACAGCAAAGTTTGGGAAGGTGGAATCATCATCTAGAAAATGTTTAATTCGTGAGCACTATAGATTTCATGGAGTTTCTTAATTAACAGCCCAGAAATTATACTGCCCCACCATCCTGAGCTTAGAAACAGAGCAGCCCCCAAGAGGAAAGGCACCATTTACGGTTATTTTTGCTGCCCACACTGTGCCAGGTCAGGGCACTGCTGTGCAAAGCATGGTAATAAATGACATGGACCAGCAGCCCATAGTCTGGAGTTGCCTCACAAAGGCAGTGAGTGACAGATCATGAAGTTCTGGACTTTGAGGGAGTCCTTTCACCTTAGCAAATGCAAAAAAACCATACCAAGGGATTTACTGAATTGCCAGGCAAAGAGATCCTGAGTAACAAGGGTAGCCTGGGAGAACTTCATGGCATGGCAGGGAAGGCAAGTTAGATTCTTCAAAAAAAAATTCAAATGGATTTAAAAAACATTATATTTCTCTTAAGTATGTTGCAGACCTCTGGACTAACAGCTTTTACCTTCATTATGTAGTTTGAGACAAGACTGCAGCCATTCAGCAGGTCACTTACCAACACAGTCCTGCATTTAGGACTCTACTGTCATAAGAAAAGTAGCTTAAACCCCTACAGTTACCTTGCAAAAATCTCACCATTTGTAAGATTCAAGATGTGTATTTCACACACTGATCTTATTTCATGTTTGTTCTTTTGTGCAGCAATTAGAAAAGTTTTGTTGTTAATGTCTGATTTATCCGAACTACCGAATACAACAGCCAGCAGATTTCTTAGGGCTCACAGGGAGCAGAACACAGATCCATGTTAATGCTTCCTAAGGCCTTTTAAAGAGCTGTCATTATTGCTGTGTTGCAGTCAGTGCTTTTTTTATTACATTAGTACATCCATGTTGTTACAATACTTTGTGTGTTTCATCAAACATTTTCAGACTTACATTTCCAAGGCTGGGCCTTAGCCAAGGGGATGTCTTTAGATGTTTCAGTGTAGACCCAAGTTTAGGGCCCAGACTCTCAGTTCACATCAAATCATGACTTGATCACAGTGTAATGATGCTGAGCAAGGATCTGGCCCTGTGGCACCGTGTTTAAAAAGCTGTATGTCATAAAATACATGCAGTTTAGTAGTGGCCACACTCATCCCTGGCACAGGAACACCTAAAGCCTCATGAATGTAGTATGATTCTGGGCATGTTGGTACATTGCTTCCTCCTTTCCAGCTACAGCACAGTCCCTAAGTGCATCCCTAAAAAGTGCTCTGTTGAAAACAGGCCAGTGCAAAAACATGAGAGTTTGTCACTGCAAGAAAATGGCTTTTGTTTGTTTGTCTTTTTTTTTTTAACTGTGTGCTTCTAATTAATCCAACAGCATTTTCAAATAATTTAAGCAAGTGTTATCTTACAGAATTAGATAAAAGCAAAACATTAACATATATAATTATTAAATAAGTGGGGGAAAAGATGAAAAATCATCAGCAATTCAAGATAGGAATTCACAAAGTGGCAAAATATTAAACTATTTCTCTGCCTCTAAATTCACTCATGACTTGAACAGGATGGATTCTCTTCTTTGCAGAACCTTTTCTGACAGCGGCATAGATTTCTTCTGGCTTCTCTCTTTTAATGAGGGGCTTCTTCTCTGGAGCCTTCATTCTCCACATGACAACTGGATGTCGTGGGCCAGTGGGACTCTGAATCTTGATAATCTTTGTGGATGCAATATAGGACATCTTCACTGTCTGCACCACAGCATTCATTAGATTTTTGGCGGCCTGAATTAGCGAAGTGACGCTGTCCAACTGTAACAAGGAAAGGACACATTGGCCTGGGAAGTCGGTGTGCTTTTAATCACAGCATCAGCAGGAATAAACAACAGTTAAAAAATAAGGCTACCATACTAAATCCTAATTTCCTTACTTTCCCTTGGTGTGTTTGATCACTATATCCATGTTCCCCTGTTCAGATTTAAAGTGATATACAGAAATTTGTGCTGGTGGAATATATGAAGGCTTATGTAGACAATGTTAATAGTTTTCTTGGTTTTTAATGTGAATTCATGATGCTTGTCTGCAGAGTTTCACTGCAATTACTACTGGTGGTTAATGAAACCAACTCAAAGAAGAGCTGTGAAAATCTGACCCATTACTTCCTTTGGTTCAGCACTAGGCAAGGTCTCCAGCTGCTCCTGTCACATTCCAGGCTCCCACACACGCTCATGAGCAATGCTGGGATACTACAAAGTGCCTGGATTTGTCAGGAGCCAAGTCAGGAGCCAAGTCAGCAGCCAAGAGCTGTAAGGGTAATTAAGAGCAGGATAGCACACAGAAATCACAGTGACTGTGTGGCCTCTCCAGCTGCTTACAGAGTGCCAACCTATGAGGCAGAATGTAGAACAAATTAATCCCCATCGCTGCTACCACCTTCAGCAGCACACAGCACAGGCATGCAAGAGGTACAGCAAAGGTATTTTCCATCAGTACTCATAGAAACACAAAACAGTAACACCGAGGAAGCTCTCTATGGTTTGGATGTTAAAAATAGCAGGATTAATCTATATAAATGGAGAGCCTACAATTCACCTTCTAAACACCTCATTTGTTGAAGCATTTGCCTTCTGTAAAAGCACTGAGGCCAGTTCTCTAAAGGACCATGAATTTGTGCTTTGCCATCCAGCCCAAGCCCACAGCCTTTCGCAACACAGCTTTGCAAACTGAGTCATTATGAAAGGTTAAAGGGCTTCTCCCTTTTGCCAGGTCAAATGAATCGGTCACGTTCTCAACTGGAATGTATTATTGTCTGTCTTCATTGTCTTTGGGTAACACTTAGGAACACATGATGATTGTGTAACACAAATGCAAATAAGGCAGAAATAAAAAATAGTCAAGTGTCTGGATTCAGTTGCAATTTGGAATCACAGGAAAACCCTCCAGTTAACACAACACTTACTGCTTCTCTCTGGAAGTGCCAAAAAAAAATACCCCTTGCTACTCCCACCCCACCTCACAGTTAAAACAGTTAGAGGCCTGGTTGAATGCACACCTATGTGTGATGGCAAACTGAAATTACCTCTATGCTCCAAGAAAAGGTGTTAAATTTACCAGATGGCTGCTAAAGTTCACTCCTTGTTGCAGCACGGGAGCTTTCTACAAAGGACAGTTTATAAGAGCCCTGTGATCTGTGCAGGGTAGTGTGTGGCCATCACATTGGGGGGGTTGTGGGTTATAAACTGAATTAGGGAAGCCACTCAGCTCAGCTTGGCAGGACAGCACAGCTCCTGTGACACCATTTGACATGAAGTTCAAAGCACATGCTGACCCCCAAGCCTAATTTCAAATACTGCCTTTAAACCTAACATTTTACAAACTTCCAGGCTGTCAGTAAGGTTTCTGCTCACAGGCCCTGTCCTTATACTCCTGACACATCTGCAGTTCCCAGCACATCCCTTTTTCTAGGGATGCTGACTGGGGTGTAGCAGTAGCTCTGTGGCAGATGAACTCAAGTCCTGGCCAAATTTCACACTGCTGAATACTGTCACAATAAATTTACTTGATGAGAAGGAGAGAGACAAAAGTTCAAATGAACTTCTTTCTTTCCTGCTAACCAGAGGATTAATTATAACAGACACACCTATGCATACACACACAAATTTTTTTTATTAATTGAATTAACAGCTGACACCACTATAGTCTTCACAGCTTCTTAAAAGCTTTGAATAATCTTTTGGCCTCTCTAAATGGTCAGTATGTACACACTCACTTTTCTAGCACTGGCAGTATAGTAACACCAAGGTGAAGCTGCTGGGTGAAAGGAAAAGATAGCTTTGGTTCTATTGTAGACTTAAAAGGCAGTTTTTCACCTTGAAGTTTGTCAGTGGCTGTAACTGTTTCACCTTTTTAAAGCTGCATTAGAGGCACACGAGGAGAATGAGAGGCTGGGCAGCAAGATGGGCTGGGGTGTCAGTGGCAGGTCCAGTGAAACCTGCTCCAGGAGTAGGGAAAAAAAAAATCCGTTTGCATGGAAGGGAAAAGGCTTCTAGAAGAAATTGGCAGCATCCAGGCAGGATAAAGGTCATCACAAAACTTCAGCTGTTTCTTTATTGTGAGTTCAGTGTAACTGTGAAACATGGATAATGAAATGGGATCCTTTCAGGTGAGCATTACAGTTTACTTGGCCTTTCCTCTCCTGTGGAAACTGAACAGTTACCACGTTGTTCTGGCATCTGGGGCTCCTTTAACCAAATGCTTGTGGTTGTGAAACAGTCCACAGCTCCCTCACCCCACCACTGTGATCAAGAAATTTTTATGTCTTAAACTATAATCATATATATCTACTATAAACAACAAATAAACTTCATGGGCCCCTAATTTTGATGAGGTTATAACTGGAAACCAATATGTTGAATGTCAGTCTCACAGTCAGACAGGGGTTCTGGGAGTAGACACCTGCCAAGTCCAGCATTTTAAACGCTAAAGCTCCAAAGACTGACTTCCAAATCCAGTTGTACCGAACTGAGGTGGCTGAGTTCCACTTGTCATGCCAGAGGAACCTAACCTCTGCCACACTCTTTAAGCTCTACAAAAGATGCCCTGAGATACAAACAGGCTTGCAGATACCTAAACCAAAGATATAAGAAATAGCTGCTGAAGGGCAGATGACCTACAGACCACTAAGGGTGTTTAAATAAGGGAAGTGCAGTTTAAATTAGGGTGCTGCAGCTACTACAGGGTTGGAGTGGGTGGGTGTGTAGGTGGTGTATGTCAGGACAGGCAGCAATCCACATTAATTTTACTTTCCTCTTGGTGTAGGCAGTGAGACACAGGGAGACTCAGTTAATGAACCTTCAGGCTCTGTCCACATTATTTGCAGCATCCTACTGCCCATATTTTCCCCGCAGCTTCCTGGATGCATCTCACACTTGTCTTCTAAACAGGAAGGCAGTGGCAGTGGGGATATTAACGGCATCCAATATTTTGGAGAAGCTCTTAAAAGATGTTCTTGGACATGTACTATGGATGATAACAATCAAGCCATACACTGAATCTTTTTTTTTGTCTCTAGAGAGCAGCTGTTTTTATACCTCAATGCCAGTAGCATTATAGAATTTGGTGGAAACCTGTTGTTCTTCTGTAAAACTGATGTACTCAAGGGCTGTCTTCGCTTGGATGCTTTTATCTCAGATATTCAGCAGGCTCTTCAAGGTCTCATATCCAGGAAAATTGATGAAATGAAACTTGGCATAAATGAAAGACTGATAAAATATTCATTGAGCGTTTAAGTTCATTTCATTTACAGAAAGGTAGCTGCAAACTCTTCAATGCACAGCAAGTGGTACATAAAGATTCAGTAGCAAAACAAACAAAACAAACCCAAACAAAAAGCTGTTTTATTTTTGCCTGACTACACTTTTACTCTTTCAGCATTTTCCATGGAGATGTAACATTCCAGCCTCCACATTTCACGGGTCTGACTCTGTCAGTTAAGATAGTAATTCATTAAAGGCTTTAGGAGAAACACCCTTTGCCATATCTTTATTCACCTGTCCTGTTATTTTCCATTGCAAAACAAACACAGAATGATTCTATAACAGTGGTTATAGAATCACACTGGGGTGAAACACAGAAGATATAGACCTGATCATATTTTTTTACTCAATCCCCACCACCGCTACCAAAAATCCTACTGGCAACCCTCCTGCTGAAACGGACTCTCATCTTCAGCACTTTTATTCTTCCTCTGCAATTAGTCCTGAATGCAAGTAAGCAAAGTCTCCAATGAGTAACAAAGCTGAAGAAAAGGGAGTTTAGGGGGAAAAAAAAGTAATTTTGAAACTTTATTTTCAATTTGTTTACATGCATTGTATGTTTCTCATTTTTGGTAAAATAATTTCATGTCTTGGCAGTAGTAGCAATCCATTACTGTAATAGAATATTGAACAGTATAATAACTGGTATGGTCAGTTATTTTTAACATTCAGAGTGATTAGGAGAATTGTGACTTAGAATTTGAAGAAACTCTTTTGCTGTTGAAATATTTTCTGTTCAGTGCACTAAGAAATGCTTGCCTTGTCACGTGTCACCAGGAGTCATTTCTGTAGCAGTTAAATACAAAATTTCCCTACTCCCAAAGCACCTAAATAAGCCAGTGTCCCACTCCCGTTCTTCGCATAGATTTGCAGGTGCTGCCTCTGCCTTAAAGAAGTGACAGCCTTTATTCCTTCCTTCTGGAATAAAGCTGTGAGGGACTGCACAAAACAGTCCTCACAAAGCATTGGATATGCACGGTGCCAGTGTTTGGAGCCCCAGCTGGGACACCCCGACTGCTCTGCTCTGAGTATTCTTGTTTTCTTTGCAGGGAACTAAGGTTTTGCTATTTGAGAACAGATTATCAGTTGGCTGTTTACCATCTCCCAAGTTGTTTTTGCAGTTCAACCAGACTTTTGGTTTTCGTACAGGTGGGAGCTGAGAACTGAATATGAAATACACAGTTCTTTTGTCAGCGTTTGAAGCCTGAACTTAAAATTCTTTTGGAAACAAGGTCAGTTATTAAAAATTAATCTTAATTGAACCATAAGGTTCATTAAATACATTCCTAGAAGCAAATTTCCCTTGTTACACTATACTGAGAGACTAAGATTGAATTTTTATTTCTTTGACAGCTCAAAAATAACGCAAATTCTACATTTCTGTAAGGAGCAGTGAGTGTCTGAGTAGTGCTCCATTTAAGGTAAGGAGTACTTACTACATTCTGCTTCTGATTTTAGTCCTGCTTTTTTTACTATGCTTTTACTGTTTGATTTTGTGAATTTCTTTCTTGTGCTTTCTTGTGCTTTCACTAAGGTTGCTATATAAAATAAAGTGATTTAATCCCTTAAGATTAAAAGTAGCAGAAAATCCAAACAGGTTAATTATTAAGAGTGAAATCTTGACTGTTGAAGACATCAGAGTTTCTCCTTGTCCTTGGCCAGGATTTGGACACAAGTTACTCGACCTGTTTTCTGAGCCACACCAGTGATAATTTCATTTTAACGGAGATCTTGATGTAGCAGTGACACTAAGAGATGGATGTTCAAGGATGCACAGAAAAAAGTTAAAGAGTTGGAAGCACATCATTTCTTCATACAACTTCATTCAACATACCACTTCATAGATTCAATCCCAGTTCAGGTTGTATAGAAAATAAGCCAAAGGGAGACTTGCCATTGTGATTTTATTTTTTTTTTAATCTGGAAACTGTTCACCTCTGCTTTGCCAAGTTCTCCCTTGGGATATTGGAGAGATTTCATCCCCATTCATGGAGCTGGCCTCAGGAAATCTGCTTCGCCCTTTGGGTTGTTTATTTTCAATGAACAGAGTTTTCCTAAAAATGCGGCAATCCTGTTGGTTATCTATGTCTGTCTGTCCATCCAATGATTGCATTTTATACCTCAAGAGTTTCTGGGGTTTGATCTGTGTTTTACTCCTTTTTCAGGTGGGGAAATTGAAACTAATGAACTAAATAACCAACCATGACCAGAATCTGCTTCAGGCTAAGTAGGATTCAAAGAACTGAAACTGAGTCCTATAATTAGACCAGGCCTGTGGCCAAGTTAAATGATAAACAACTTACATTAAGGACTGTAAAACTGTTGCTCTGCAACACCAAAATGGAGCAGATGCTTAGCCAGGCAGTTATCTCAGTCCCTCCCAAGTACTCACTTCCAGAGAGGTTTTAAAAAAAGGAATCTATTTTTTTTAAAAAAACAGGTCTTGAGAAAAATCCTTTATAAGGGATAATATAAATCCTTTCCTTGCTGTTTATCAAGAAATTGAGTGCTTGTCACAATAATCATTTACATGCACTGAGGCTCAGAACTACAAAGTACATCCTGATTTTTGCTAATTACCAAGGTAATTATTATTAGGAAAAGTTAACTGGCTTGTAGTGTACCTCACCAGCAATACTTGCTACTCCTTTGAATTAGTTCTTCTCAGTAGATGCAGTTTAGAAAGCAATAGTAACTGAGATGCCTGGAATTGACAGGAAAATCTATCCCTTGCTTTGCTTCCAAAGGCCAGGAGTTCTATATACACACACCTGCCAGCACATACTAGGCAAAAGCAGAGAAAGCTGTAGTGTTATTACATTAAAAAAAACCCAAACAGTGAAACATTTCTGTCACCTCTCAGTAGAAGAAAATTTTAATATATCAGCTCTTGGGGGCTAACATCAGCTTTTAGAAAATGGGTGTTTTATTATTTTCAGGGTCAAACATCAAAATAAGAAGTCACTTTAAGCATGGTGTAAGGCCCTATAAGTAACCTTCCACCATCCTTTCAAACAAACTGAACTACACGTTCCTAATGACGTGGAGGAATATCAGCCAGGAGAAACAAACTGGCTGAACAGGGAGCAGTGGACACTCCCCTGGTGCACAGAGGCATCAGCTTTGCCAGAACAGCTGCTGTGGACCTAAAGAAAGGCAGAGGGGATGTTTTTCCACTGAAGGTCACACAGCAGTGAAAGCAGGACAGCAGCACTGAAGGCGGTGGAACAAACCATCTACCTGTAGTAAACGCAGTGGGCTGTAACAGCAGCCCACATTTCAGCAGGACTGCCAGCATGCTGCTTAGTCCTTTGTTCCCTCTCTTCAGTCCTACTGGGGCTGCAGCTGAGAAGCGGTTCTGCGGAACTTGGCAAAGCAGAGGTGAACAGTTTCCAGATTAAAAAAAAAATAAAATCACAATGGCAAGTCTCCCTTTGGCTTATTTTCTATACAACCTGAACTGGGATTGAATCTATGAAGTGGTATGTTTATTCGACTTCTCTTTTAGAGGGAAAAAGAACACCTAGAAACCCTAAAAGGAACGGAAATGCACTGCTCCCATCTCTCTTGCCAAAGGAGCAGCTCTTCAGGAGTTGAGCACAGTGCCAGCTCTTCTCCAGCAGCAGCTGAAACCCTCCAAGTGGAGCGAAGGCGTGGAGCCACTTGCCAGGTGCCACAGTGCTCACACGCTGTCCAAGACATCACTTTCCTGGGGTACGGATATCCAAGGATTGGGACTGTGTCAGCCAAAGGCCTGGTGGTAGACACCCTGCCTTGTATTTTGCTACCTGCTGCCTTACATATAGCTCTGACTGTGTTTTCATCTGCGGCGCAGCCTTCAAAGCTGAAGGCCGTTCATAGCAATGCAGAGAACTTTTGATTTAACAGCCATGGGAACTCAGTGGTAACTCAGGAAATAGAGCAGACATTTAAATCCAGCCTCGAGGCATGAAGTTGGAAGTATTAAAGTACTTACATTTGGCACAAAAGCTGACTTAACGTCACTGTTTAAGGTAAAGTCTGGCTCTTGAGATACCAAGAGGAAGAGCTGAAGATAAATGAGACATTTGGAGAAAAACCGGAGTGACAAAGCCTTCAGTGCACAGGTAAGGCTGGCTAACCTGAGAGGGCTTTTCTGTGACAGTTAGCAAAAGTAATTCTGTAACTCTGGATACTGTAGCTCTTGAAAACTCTCTCTTCCACACATTTCCTTTTTAAGGTCAAAAAGCTCTGTCTCCCTTGCCAAATACAATATAAAATGAAATACAGGAAGATAATGAGTATAAACAGCAAAAAACAGAATTGCCTGGCACAAGACAGGGAGAATGATATTAATATGTAAAGATCTGTTAATTTTCTGCTCTGTGATATAATTTGCTTTACTTAAAGCCACTGTTGGGAAAAAAGCCAGCCAACTGGCAAGGTAAGGTGCAAGCCTATCACTGTGCAGTACTTGAGAATGAATTATCAGCTTATCTATATAAATGAATGCAATTATTGTCAATCTGCATACTGCAAATGTTACCCCATTATTTTGTGCCTGAAGAGGCACAAATTTATTCCAATTAATAGAAGGAAGTTTCCGTTTCCTGTTTAATGAAGATGCAGTGAATCCTTACCATTTTTTCTTGTGCAGCTCACAAACAGGAAGTGCAAGTAGCGTTTTTGAAAATATAAGTATTTTATGGGAGCATGAAAGACTAAACACTTATCAAGGAATTATTAATGAGTGATAATAACAAAACTGCAGTGAGTGGAGAATTAGAAGCTAATGATCTACATCTCCTCTTCTCTTTTTCTGTACATGACCTTTATAACCTCCATAACTGGGGCTCTGACTAGAATGAAGGTACTGGAGTTTGGGGAAGGACAGTGAGAAAGGTGGACTACAAGATTATATGGCCTGAAGTAAAAAAGCCACTAAATGAGGAGAGAATTCGTAGTTCTCTCCTAAGAGAGAACTTTTAGTTAGGAGAACTCTCAGCTGGATAGTCCCCAAAGCATCCCAACTGGGCCAGGTAAACTGGCCTATTTAACCTAGGGTAATGATATGGGGGGGTTATTAATTTTGGGCAAGAAACCCTCCAGGGGAAGTTGTTAGAGGAGCGTTACAGAGAAGACAAGGTTACAGGGGACACAGCTGAAAAGCAGCTGAAGAAAGTAATGTGGTACTAAGAATTAATGACTATGAACTGTGTTTATGGATTTAAACATACTTTTTCCTATGCATAATGTTTGCTCTTTTTTGTCATGCAGTAAGTCCCAGATTGAGCTGTGCTGGCAGTCAGCAGTACCTCCCCAACTACAGTGTTTATATAGGTGAGAATACAGAGACACAGGTGCCCTTATACCATGGCACTGCTGACCACTGTTATATGGTCCTAAACAATGTTCATCTGTAATGCTATTTATATCTACTTTACTTGCTCTGCCATCACATCATCCAGAAGAAGATATTGGTAAGACAGATGATGTGACTTAACTCTATTTCAAGCAGATATATCTACAAATATGGGATAATATATCCTTTATCATTTCCTCCTGACCTGGAAGTACATCTCTGGGGGATTTCTTTTTATGTTCAGATGCACATATGTGCATATTCCATGTGTATAAGTAAATGAACCACCATGTTAAAGTGTGTTACAGTACTTAAAACCAAACTATTTCAGAATAACAGTGATAATACATAATATGTTTTGAGAATTAAAAAGAAAAAAAAACAAACAAGTGATTGCTATTCCTTTTAAGCAATTAGTCTTATGCTTCACTGTCTTAGATTCTCTGTGTTGTGTACAAAAAACATGAAATAAAATGAGATTTGGGATGACATTGGAACATCTCTTGTGGGTCCCTTCCAACTCAGCATATTCTGTGACTCCATGATCTTGCAAGTACAGGAAAGCCCAACTGAAATGCAACATTTATGTCAATTAACAGAGTAATTTATACCATTTTTCTACTTACAGCAGACATGATAAGCTCTCCACCGAGATTCTGGATTTCTGCTTTAACTTGACTGCAGATTTTGAGCTGGTGGGAGTAGAGCTTGATCTGTTCTAGGTAAGCCAATAAATCCTGTTTGCACGACTGGTCTGGACACTGAAAAGAACAATTAATAAAGCATTTCAGCAATTGCTGATTCAAACATGTCTCAGGAATCATGTCAATACTTCACTGAGGAGTATTCAAATTGTACATTAATTTAGGCTTGTCTTTCACTGCAGCTGTATCAGGCTGCACAGTTCATTCCTCTTGTGAAGGTTTTTAATGTAATAGTTGGAGGATCAGAATAATCTTAGAATTCCTCATATTCCCTTTTAACACTGCTGCACTTGCCTTAGCAATATTTCTAAACACATTATTTACTGTATGGAATAATTACTTTTCCTTCAATTCCATAGAGGTTATGTTTTTTATTTAAGAAAATACCTACATTAACAGTGATGTGGGGAATATAAACATGCATTTTGTGGGTAAATGTAAACACACATGCAGAGACAAGTTAACATTTATATATTATGCTTTATCTTGTAATATGAACTATGGGGGTTTTTTGTGTTCCATCCAGAGTGAATTCAACTCAATCCACAGATCATCTGCATCAGTGGGAACAGGAAAATAAGGTCTTACAGAAAACTCATTGATTGCAATACTTTTAACACCACAGATTTTTTTTCCGAATATTATTTTTGTAAATAATAATAGGGTCTTTCCAACCTCATTTTTGTGAACTGCCAAAATACAGGGAGTACTTGGAGGGGAAATATTGCTCTGAGGTACCAGACCAGACACCAAAGGCCACATGTTTGTTCTGAAGCTACTTTTCACTGCTCTGGCAGAATAAAGGCATCTTCAGGGGAATGGTGAGTCCCTATTTTGCTACCACAGCTGTAAAAATTAAGTGTGATAAATAAGCAGTGAATCCCTACAGTTTTTCAGAGATGTGTTTTTAGCCTATGTGCTCTACTTATATAATAAATACAGTCACTTTTTTCTGATAGGAAACTGTGTTCAGCTTTGTATATTAAAAAAGCAAATATAGATTCCCACCAACCACTGTGTTGACTGTCAATGATCAGTCAACGATCTGTGCTTTTATATTTATGGTTTTATTTAAACTTTTGGTCTTATGGAATTGTGGTCAATGGATTTAAATCCAAAACCTGTCAGAAGTCAGTAAAAGCACCAATTCTACTTAATTAATAAAATTTTTTAATCTACTGGCTTTGCTGAAGAAACCTGGTATATGTTTAAACGTGGTGTGACAACTCTATCTTCATGACTCTATGCAATATGTTTGCTTAAGCAAACAAGGTCATGCTTTAGACTTAGGAAAACATAAGAGTAAATAAGGAAGGCCAGACTGAACAATTTAAAATTAACTTGGATATCAGTCCTTACGGTGTGTTCTGCTACATCTGTTACTAAAATGTTTTCTGTGCTTTGACACAAAACAAAACTTGTTTTGTTCTTTGTTTTTAGAACAAAACCAGAAGTCTTTCTTGACATCTTCTCTTGCTGCGTGTGACATTTTCAAAGTGTTAGCATGTATACTAAAATATGTCTTTGTTTCTTCCTTACTCAGCACTGCTTTAAGAACTGCCTAAATCAATATTTAAATACTGGTATTTCATTGACTGCTTAGAAAACACTCATTGTGTAGTTTATTTTAATTAGTAAAAATTTATACTTCCAGTCAAATACAACAGTAATACCTCTAAGCATCAGAATTAATTATATCAATACGAAGTGTATTCCTGGAAAGATATTCCTTCTCCTCCCTTTTTTTCTTTCCTTAACTACACTGTGACTTTGTCCTCTCAGCCAGAAAAACTCAACATATAGGGTGGTAGGGTGGTAACATGCCAATATAGTGTGTCATGCACTTAAAACAGTGACAATGTCAATTAGAGAAGTTCAGTGACAAGAATAATTATTATATAGTACTCTTTTATATAGTAATATTGTCAGGCTTGTCACATTTACTATCTTCCTTACATAGCATTAGAGAAGAAATGTGTACCATTTTAGGAATTCTAAAGATGATATGAACCAAAGTCTGGGAAATGGCCACTCAAGAACAAGACCTTGAGGTCAAAATAGTTCTATGAAAACACTGTTTCAAGACCAGGAGCATTCAAAACAACAAATGCTTGGCCTTAAATAGGAAAAGTCTTCTGAAATGTAATTATGCAACTGTACAACTCTGTGGCATACCCACAGCTTTGCCACCCTGAGTAGATACGGTGCATCTTTCCCCTCCAATGCCCACACCAAGGCAAATAAGAAGGACAAGAAAGATTTTAATGGATACAAGTATTCTTTCCTCCATTACAAACCCAAGGGGTTATTGAAAGTAATTAGACTGTGTTCAAAACAAAGGAAATGGTTTTTAACACTGGGTGTTAAGTTGCAGAATTTTTTGGTACAGAATGATTATATTAAAAGCTTAAGTGGTTTAAAAAAGTTACTGGACAAATTAATGGACTATTCTGTGTGTCTGGTTTTATATGTCTGGTTAAGTAAATTCTGGAATGGCTGCTGGGAGACCTTATTGTGGGAGTATCGTGCCATTATCCCACTGAGTTCTGTAAGTATTCACTATTAACTGTGTCAGCAACAGGGGACTGGCCTGAATGTATCTGTGGTCTGGCCAAGTGGGCTCAGTTTTGTTATTCACCCATAAAACTTCACCAGATGAGACAACAAAGACAGGGACTAACACAACAGAAGAGCAGGCATTTGCAGGGGTAGAGATAACATTCTGCACTACTTTAAGCAGGATAAAATATTACAAAAAACCCTAAAGCCTCATGCCTTATAGCATATCTAAATCAACCATGGACAGATGTTAGGAAGAAATGTACTGTGTAGGACATTCCATAAGGAATCTTCTACATATTGCTCAGAAGCATCTGGTACAAGCAACCCTTGCTCACTAGTGAAACCAAAATCTGGGCTGCAACAGAAGGACAACTGATAAATTCTGCATTTAATCAACTCACAGACCATTGATGATTACCAGTTAATTGCCTCACATTCTTAGCTAGAGATGTCCACAAATTATGAGAGGTTTTTTTTCCCAAACATATCGCAGGGATCAGAACAGACTCACATCCAAAAAACCCAGTGGCATTTTACCTAATAGAAAGAATATCCATAGGAACCTTGAAGTGATTTGATAAATTCAAATTACGCAGTGATTAAAACCATATTGAAACCAAGGTTCACTAGACAAACAATTCTGCTGGAAATTCTGATTGTAGACAATACTGTTCTTGCTTTAATTTCATCCCTTTGCTAAAAAGCCAGTAGCATTTCTCTAGAATCCAAATCTGTCTTCACGGTGATTAATATTGGGTATAATCACCCACAGACCCACTACTCCAAATGTTTGCTGTGCCTGTTGGATGCTACACCACATGGGGTTCCCTTCACTGACAGGGATGTAAGATTATTTACACTGTGCTTTCCTCACTGTGTTAATTAGGTCTGGCAAACAGCATATTAAATGACACCTCACAGTCTGAGTGCCTGTCTTACTGGGATCGTAGTGGGTGCAAAACAACTGGAACACCAAGGAGGCTCTTAATAAAACCTTAATCTTCAGCACATTCCATCAAACCAGGATGTACTAACTAACTGTCTTAATTATCTCATGGCTTCCAGGTCACAAATTTGACAGTGAATTTATAACAATCTTTTTTAAACTACATTTATTATCAATGTACTTGTGATTCATTTGCCTAGGTTGATGTTGATGCTGTACTGTGATTATTTTCACAGTTGTTAACTCTGAGCCATTTTAAAAGTGCTGTGAGCACAGACTGAAATATAACTGAATTCTGCTAATTGTACCACACTGCAAGCCTTTCCTTCAAACACAGGAAGAGGGAATCATAAAAAAAATATGAAATTAAAGAAAAATTATATCAGAGAGGTTCTGTTGTGGCTGATGAGTTATAAAAGGCTGCAAATACACTTACAGGGTAGAGTTTCCTGTGGAGTTTTTTCTTTTCTCCTAACAGAAAAACAGTAAGAATGATGTAATTACACAGTTCTCTGAAATTACATGGAGTATGAATCAAAATTATTAATTTGAAAATGTTTCAATAACAGGAAAAGGCTAAAGAGATACGCCAGTGATTCTTCATTACACAGAGCTTGCTTCTGTTGGGTCTGAGCAAGACGGAGGAAGCAGAGCGATGGTTTTGCTTTTCTTCCTTTTGTGTAGCTTTGAACACTGAAAATCCTGTCACACATTACTGTGGTCCTGGTAACTCCAAAGGCATAGGAAGAGCTGACTCATGGAAGCTGAACACGAAAGTGATGCACCCTAATTAAATGACAGTATCAGAAGTGGTAGCAAATACTTAGATGGAAGCCTAAGCTTGATAGCAAGTGTCCAGAAGAGTATGTGCAGGAATAATGGAAGGACCTATATCTTGAAAGATCAGCTAATTGAAAATTGAAGCAAATAACACAAATCCATTTTTTTCCATGTAATAGAAATTCCACATAATTTAAATGTTACTAAAAGGTAGCATGTGAAAAATTCCACTAAAAAGTCTGAATGCTGCTGAGGAAGGCATTAGTAAAAACCTTATTGACATTCATGTTGTACTCTGGGTACCAAATTCTTGAAGGGTTCCTCCAGTTTGGCCGAAATTCAGAGAAGGACTAGAGAAAAAAGCCCAGGGGATTGTAAAGTTTATTTTATTTTAAGACCTCGAGATAGAAGAGTATAGGAAATTTGCCAAAATAACAGCTGTTTTTGAAAATACTTTTGAGATTAGAAAAACATCACAGTGAGAAAATAGCTTTCTAAGTTAAAGGATGACTTGGCATAGGCAAAAAGAGGTTATAGAAGTTAAAAGATTTCTAGCTATCTGAGAAATGAGAGGATCATATGGTTGTAATAGGAGGAATAAAGGGGGAGGATTCCCTTTTTTTACTAAGTTTGACACATATCTAACAATGACTGTAGTTGTGTTCACCACAGCTGGAAGGGCTGCTTTGGTTCATGTTTTGATTTGTGTTTTGTTTTTTTAATTGCCTGTGTTCCTTTGCTTCTAGTGTTTGTAACCTGAAATTGCATCTAAAATACAAACATCACCCATAAGTAACGAGTGTCCTTCAGATGCACACAAGATGCCACAGGAATAAATACCAGGGCTCAGGTGGCTCATGGGTATCAACTGTGCAAGATCTGAGCGAGGACAAATGGAAATAATTTGAGCAAATTCAGTAAAATGGTTCCCATAATTTGAATGATGTCACAATTCCCAGCAACTATGAGGGTCCACACGAATTATTAGCAATTATAGTTCATGAATACTTTTTCCTCACACATGAGATTGGTTCATGTTTCTAGTCTGGATTCACTGTAATAACACAGATGAAATATTTCTTCCCTAAAATTTTCCTTTATCTACAAGAAATATTTCAGCAAGAGTGGATTTTCTGTTCTAAAACCAGTAAGGATTTATGACCCTTACTCATCTTTGCCTTTGATATCGCAATGGTTTCTGCAATATATCAGTGACAGTTTTGAATTTTAATTTGTAATTGATAAAATCTTGAAAGGAGCTATTGTCCAATGCCCCTGAAAAGAGAGATGTGCTGGGAGAATATCTGCCAAGACCAGAAATGAGGACTCAAGACATTTTACCTAGTTTTTCCACATATCTGATCAAACTGCAGAGATGCAAAATAGAAATTCTTCATCTTGTTCTCTGGAATTCAGGGAGACACATGACAACAAGTAACAGACTGTTGCTGCTTCCTAGATACTAGAAGAGCAAGCCTTGTGTATGAAAATAAAAAGTGAAGGTAAAAATATAGAGTACTTAAGGGTGTGGAAACAGTGACCATACCATGCTACACCGGGCCCAGAAGGTACAGGAAATGTTTTAAATGTGATATTTGCACACTGCCATTTCCCTACGCTACTGGCAGTGCCTGGCCCTAAAACAACCAACCCCACATAGTGAGGAGGTGTGTTCAGTTCCTAAGCCACCATTGCAGCTCTCAGCCAGGCTGCTCCAGTTACCCTGCTCCTAGTCAGGTGGTTCTGGTGCAGGCTTTTCAGCCGTCGGACGTTTTAAAAATCCAGTGGAAATAAAGTAGACCTTACAGCTCTAACACTTTGCATTTGATGATGATATATATAATTCTTTTAAATGCTAAAAAAAAAAAAAAAGAAATCACGTCAAGACTGCGAGTATTTAGAGGCTGAAACAGCCACTGTTGAGAGGCAGAGATGGAAGGAAGATAATCCAAGTACAAGACAACCCAAGTTTTATTCCTCTCTTTCCCTCTCTTTCATTATTGTTATCATTATTCTTATTACTACAACTACTATTACATTTTATTTTGTTTAAATTATTAAGCTTTTTATCTTAACCCATGAGGTTTATTGTTTTTTCCAGGTGACTGAGCAGGGTACTTAGTTGCCAGCTGGGGTTAAACTGGGACAATAGCTTTTATGTATATATATTTGTATGCATGTATATGTATATTACATATAATATGTATATATATGTATACATACATATATTTGTATGTATGTATAATATATGTTATATATATTTGTAGGTATGTATATGTATCTTATATAGAATATGTATTTTATATACATCTGTATGTATTTGTAATATACATTTTGTATATTAATATTTGTATGTATTTATATGTTCACTATTGTTCCAATATATAAATATAGACATATACATATATATATGAATGCACACACATTTATATATACATACATATATACTATATGTCTAAAATGTTGCATTCATAGCTTAAGGGAGCTAACAAACATTCACACATACATACAAATGCACCTGTAGATAAATATATGTCCATACATATCTCTGAATGTACACTTATATTTTGTGTGTGTGTGTGTGTGTAAGTGTATATAAACATTAATATATATGAAGAAGAGAATCCACACATATATTAGGACAGGATCTATATATCCATGGCTTCAGAAAGGGAGAACAGAAGGAAAATCAGACAGTAGATCTAAAAATGTCATGAGCACTTAAGTAAGTGACCTCTCCTTAGGTGTCAGAGGTTCTGTGGATGGATGGGTGTGGGGCAAACTTTACTGCATTGCTGCATGAATAACCCACCTGGTCCGCAATGAGCCGCGCCAGGACGTCCATCCTGGAGCCTGACTCCGAGATCATCTTCGCTGCGTTGATCACATCGGATGTGTGCTTCAGTGGTCCTCTCCCCCTGCAAAGGAAACAAATGAAACTCTACTATTCAACAACTGAAGATAAATCATATCCATGCACACTAGGCACAGAAGAACACAAGTAAAAAAAGCAGCTAATCCACAAAAACAACATTAATTAAATTCCAACCCCAGCCCCAACTATTTTGTTTTCACAAATTTGTATTGTTTGGCATCAACTGGATGCAAAAGTCCCAGAAAGATGTCACACAGTTTTTTCATACTGGAAGCGCAACCTAGTCCAAATCAGGATTTTAGGAGATTTCTTGTGCAGTTAGGTTTTCCTAGGCTTACATGACGTTCCTCAAATGTGAAGTTCCTTCCACAAATTTTCTCATAAATATGTTCAAAGGAAGTTCAGCACAGCGATGTATTCAGAGAGTCATTATGGATACCTGTTGGTTTTGGGTTGTTTTTTTAATTTATTTGGTGCACCCAAATTTATTTTAATTTATTTGGTGCAAATCAACTGGCATATGCCACTCAAAATACAGATATGCCACATTTGAAAATACTTTCCAAACAATTTCAGAGTTTTCAGCCTAGGAAAACAGTAAAGTTCTTGCGAACAATTTGCCAAGAAGTGAATATCTTTAGTTTTATTATGTGCACATTTAATTCCTGAATGCCCCATATCAATTTACAAGTTCTGCACTCGACAAAGGAAGTAGACAACATGAAGAAAATTAATATTCTTCTTTGCTCAAATGAGAAGATCCTTTTCCTCAAAGTCAGTATGGTTTCATGTATAAAGATTTACCATTCATTCCAGTAAAAAATTCATTTAGACTAAAAGTATTATCATATATAACTATACAAACACTTCATTCAGTAAAAAGACAGCAATGACAACATGGCAGATATGTTTAATCTCCTGATTAATCATTCTGCTTAGCAAAGAACTATTTGTTAATCCTTAGGAGTAAGGCAGACTGATTACAGTTCCTTATTCTCAACTTTCGAAGCTCACATTTGGAACAACCTAGAATCAGGTATTTTACACATTATTTTTTCTACAGAAAGGCATCTTCTTGTTATGAAAGACCTACTTAGCAAGCTGATCAGTTTAAAACAGAATAATAGGCTATGTGTCCTGGATGAAGTACTTAACTTTCACCCATGCCCTTCATTTTCCTTTCCTGCTATTTTCCCTTCAAACCCTTAGATGCACAATTGAATCCTTACAAATGCATATTGGCCCTCCCCACCATATCAGGTCACTAATTAGTTTTTCATTGTAATTTTCACTGTGGCAGGTTCCAAAGGCCAGAGGTCTGTCAGTTATCCATAGCAAGTCCCTCGGGCTCCACAAACTATCAGCAGTCCGGTACCCTCCTGGAAAGGTCCAACCCAGTCACCAGAGAGATAACATTAAAGGTGAACACAACCCAGAATTAAAGCAGCCAGGAAAGGAGAGATGTAACAGTCCAAGGCTATTTCTGTTAAGGAAAGTCTTGTGAGTATCAGCCAGCAGCTTTTTTGACATCTGAAGCTATGCTGAACGGGTATTTTGAAGGTGAAGTTCTTCAATTAAACTAGAAATTTCTTGAACCTGTGCAAGTCCCTCAGAGATCTAATGAGAATGAAGCAATTCTACTCAAGAAAGGTTATTTCAACCAAATGAACAGGAAGTATTTCCTTTCCCCACAAATACGGCCACCAGGAGAGCCATTAGAGGAACCTCAGCAATGACTGTTCTGGACACTTCTGCTCCACTTGCCACCTAATTGCACCAATGGTTCAAATTCTCTATTGGAGTCTCTAAGCAATGTGGGGCAGGATGCTTCAGCTCTAAGCCACAGCTCAGTCTTGAAATGAAGGTTTAGTGCTTAGGAATGCCTCAGCCTTGTATTAAAAAGTGCTGAAATCCCAGCATGCTAAATTACACATACAAGGAGGGCTCCTTTGCTGTACAACCAAGAACTATCCGTACTCCTTTTTTTACCTTCAGGTAAAATGCAGAGCCTTTGACATAAAGCACAGGTGTAACTGCCTCGGGGTATGGCATAATGAGCCATTATGATGTTTGGCAATTCTAAGTACTTCGAAAAGAATACCTGGGAGAGTACACCAAGTTTGCTGAATCACCAGGCAAACAGAAGAAACAGAAAGAAAAAAGACAAACCGGGATGATACTTCAATGGGAACAGCTGTAAACATTAAATTTGGACATTACATATTAAGTGCTTAGAGAGAGAGAAAGAAAGAAAGAGAGAGCCTATGTAGTAGTTTTTCACAGAGCCAGAGGGGCTGATACAGTGGGTCAGCCTGAACAGGAGTTTGTGAGGTGGTTGCTGTTATGAAAACAGCAGATGCCATACCCGAGGTGGACAAAGCAAGCTTTCCTTCTGCTTTTTCCATTTGGGTAAGACTGCAGCTGCAGTTCAGGGAGGGGGTTCCATGAAGAACGTTTTTGACATGATAAAAAATGTGCAAAAAGGATGATCAGACGTCATAAACATAAGGAGAGACAGAAGGGTTCAGTGGGGCAAAGGAGGAAGCACGAGCAGGAGAAGCTGTAGGACACAGATGGTTACAGTCTTCAAAGGAGCTTCATAGGGGTAGGGGAGCTGGGATGGAGCTCACATTCTGGAAAAGCAGGTTCAGGTGAGGTGCTGAGCTCGGGGGAAACCAGAGCAGAGTAGCCAGGAGGCTACGGCATCAGATCTGCCAATGGACAAGACCAGACAGATATCTGTTGTGAGGGACAGGGTGGTATCAGTCCCCTTCTGAGGTCTCTTCCAGCCCAATGATTTTATAATTTTAAATTTAACAAAGAAGTTGCATGTTTTTTGGTGAATGATTACCAGTTGCAATGCATGTTGCCTTCTAATGTTATTGATGCAGATGTGCACTTTTGAATTCCCAGTTTGCCTGATTTACCACCAGATCAGCAGATTCAGAATGCCACTTACTCAGATTAACTCCCTGGATCCAGATGTTAGAAACATGAAAAGTCCATTAAATCATCTAGGTTGTTTTCCCCAGCCATTACACAGCTCCCTACAAGTTTTATATTCACTTGCATTTTTTCTGGCAAGTTTGAAGTATGAAAAACACTTTGCTTGGAAGGCTGTTTCCCTGAGCTATCCATTTCACTCTCTGGAACATTTTCCTAGATATTTCACTTAGTACTTTCTCCATGTCATTGTAACAGCATCCCTTTCCTTCTATAGATGTAGTCCCTGATCCTCCTCCACCATATGCTGAAGCATCCCAAATTGTAGTAATAGTACAGACCTGCATGCATTAGCTTGGTTCATGCACCTACAGCCAATAAAGAAACCAGACAGATAAAAAAATCCTCCCACCAAGTACCATCTGCTGGTCAACAGCATCACCAAATTGCTCCTTCATAGAGTTTTCCACCTTTTCCCCTACATAAATTTCTGGGCTATGGCAACCATGTAATTCATTTCTTTATTATTTTTTGAGTCAGTCTTATCTTACTGGTTTTTTCCTTCTTCCAGTCTCTGAAATATTTAAAGCCAAACCTCATCCACACACTCAGTTACCGAAATTCTTTCCCAATGATTTCACTAATTCATAGCCTATAGTAGACTCTAAATTCATGATCTGGATTGATTGCATGGAAGATCTAATACACCTATTTTCCTAACACTTGACTATTTCCAAGCATGAAGCCTTACTGGCTAAGCAAGCTGATAACACAGTCAAGGTTGTGAAAACAAAGAGGAGACACAAAGTACTACATTTACAAGCAATTGTATCCCCAAGGTAGTGATGGATTGTTACTACAGCTCAAATCACTGCTCTATCCAACAAGAAAACTGGGAATAGGCCAAAAATAATATGAGAGAGAGACGTCCAGTTAAGTCTAACTAGGAGGAAAATAGTTGGATTGTGTACAAAGAAAGCAGTTTAGAATATCTTCAATAAGGGTAGAAGAAAAAAACCCAACAAACTTCACATAAATGTTTCTTGCAAGGTACAATCATAACAAGAAAAAAGTTGGACTATGTTAATTAGTACAACACCAAGGGTTTTGGATAAATGTGAAAGACAGACTGAAACTGCTCAATCTAATAATTCTTGCTCCAAGCCCTGAGAAATCGTGTGCCTGAAGAGAAACTCCATCCCTGTCTGCATAAACTTAACTGCAATGATTAGCAGACATCAGTTTCGGGCATTATTTCCCTGTTATCCTTCACACTGAAAAGCAATGACACTCTCTCAATTCTTACTGTAAAAGAAACTTGTATTCTTATTTCAAATCCAAAAAGCTTTTGCCATCCATCACCTTTTCCAAGAAAAGTCTCCTGTCCCGGAGCAAAGCTGAGTGGCTTCCCCCTACTCACTGTGTTCACCTCAGCAAATGTTTTGTACTTCTGCATCAGAAACACCAATGGGGAGCTCTACTGACTAGTCAGTCTCAAGAGAGAAACTCCTCCCTAACACACACCCAGCACCACAAACCACCATCACACGTGAGGAGTGAGTTCAGAGCACTTTAAGGTGTGAACTCGAAGCTTCGCGAGCGCTGTCAGCCCCAACCCACAGCTCAGTGGCCACAGTCACATTAAAATCTTGAGCTCCACACACTGACCACTCCAGCATCGGTCCTAGTTTCTAGATCAGCAACTCCTGACAGCTCCCACTGGTTAGTTTTATAAGAAACATCCCTTACTTTACTCACAGAGACAGAATGATACTCCCAAACAAAATTATTACATTTTATATATACTACTGTATTTAGTCAGTTCAGTAATCGCTACATTTCAAGGTACCAACTTGTGCCTCCTGCAGTTCTTCCCCAAACATATCATGTGTTTCTCCTTTCTTCTGCCTTCCCACTGCTGCTCTTCCTGTAATAATGGCATGGTAAAAAATCTAGATTCCAGTCAGACATTCTGATCTCTGTTCCATGAGCTGTTTCTGAAGTTTGCTCTTTCTTTTATTAACCTACTGATTGTGTGCAGGCCTGGGAGCAGGGATAAGGAAGCAGGATTCACACCTCACTCATTACAAATGCTCTATT